CACTGGAACTTCCAAAATTACATAAATTATAAAGGAGCTTGCAAATTCTTGTAATTAATTTGTTCATTTATGAAACATTCATTGAGTTCCCACTCTGTGCAAGACCCTTTTCTAGACCCTTGAGGGCAGTATCAAACTCTTAAGTCATCTTTTTAATCTGAGTAGTATCAAGGATCATTCCTGGCATATGGTAGGCATGTAATAAATGTTGTTTTCTATAAGCTGGCACTCGTACAGAACATGGGGACCAAGAAAAGGACAAAGATTTGCTTTAGGTAGTGAATATGACTTATCAATTTGATAGCCATACTAGTCAACATTCCCTTCTTAAAACACTTTAGGATATCCTTTTGCGATTAGGGCATACGTTCTATTTTTACTGTGTGACATATATAAAATCTTCAGTTCTTAAAGGTATGCATACTGTACTGGGGGAGGAACAATTTGGCTCTGTGCAGTTTACTGCTTTAAAACCCATCCAGAGGAAAGTTTTCAAGGCTAAGCTGGATGGAGCTGTATATCAGGAAAAACTAAGGAATCACAAGGAAGATAAGACCTTTGGAGGGTTGCTGAGGACAAATGTCTCCAAGCAGGTGATGGAGGTTTTCTCTTCTGCTCCTCTGTCCTCACTGCTTATTAGAGGACATAGGTTATTACACAAATGGAAAGAGGCTGTTAACAAGTAGATTATGGGAATTATAATGTGGAGAGTGCTGAAGCACTTAAGACTTTCTCAAACCCAATATGTGGTTATATTTTAAAAGAAGAGACCAACAAAGGACACGTTATTCCTAAAAGCTAGGTTTGAGATTTTGCATTGCCCACTCACAGGGATGCCATCTTTTTTAAATTTTTTTTCCTTTTCTTTTCTTTCTTTCTTTCTTTCTTTCTTTCTTTCTTTCTTTCTTTCTTTCTTTCTTTCTTTCTCCTTTCTTTCTTTCTTTCTTTCTTTCTTCTTTCTTTCTTTTGAGAGAGAGAGAGAGCACGCATGCAAGCTGGGGGGAAGGCAGAGGGAGAGGGAGAGAAAGAATCCCAATTCCAATCTCCATGCTCAGTGCAGAGCCCAACGTATGCTCAATCTCATGACCCTGAGGTCATGACCTGAGCCCAAATCAAGAGTTAGATGCTTAACTGACTGAGCCACCCAGGTGCCCCCAGAATGCCATCTTAAGGTGAAGATGTAATGATATAAATGAAGTGTCCCTTCCAGCTAGACATGGTGAATTTGTTTCACTTCAGCACTACTCTTGGCATTCTTGGTACCAATAACAGGCTGAATTGAATTTTTACAATTACCTTGTTTCATATGTTTCACTGGGTTATGTCTCCTATTTCACTTGAAAATTCAAGAATAAGGATGACTACAGGAAATAATTAGGACAGATATAATGATAATCATGAATACAAAAAGAAAAAGTATCAAGTGTGTGCAGTTCTGGAGTTTCTGAAGCCCTTGAACCTTTTCTTTTATAGCTATCCTGACTTCATGTTTGGTAGAAGGAAGATATGTAACAAATTTGAGGTTTGGCCCAAGCATTCAGCCCAAATCTATTTGGCTTCAATTTCAGCCTTGATCTTTGGAAAACTGAAGGGCTAAATGGCTATCCATTTCTGGTATTCCTGAGCTAGTGTGTGAACAGTGATCTTGTGATCATGCCCATGATCATTGTATCTAATCAATGTTACTATATCTATAGCAGAAACAGAATACAATTGATTTTAGATTTATTGTTAATGTATGAATATTCACTCTCAAATATGGACAAGCATTCTACATATAACTTATAATAAAATTCTTATGTGCTAAATATGTTGAAATTCTGAAGTATAAATGCATCCTTATTATTGTAAAAGCAAAATGTTGCACTAACTAATGAGGATTGTGATTTCTGTTAATTTTATGTGCAAAACAATGATTAAGGACTTATTCTAGTTAATAAAATAAATATATTGAATTTCACATGAACAATAAGAGAATACTATAGCCACATATATTTAGGGATGTTATATAATTTTGTGTCAACAGATGTTTATAAAAGATTAAATCATTAAAATGTCATAATTGTACTCTGTAAAATTTTTAGTAAACTCTCATCCATAACATTTTCCAAAATAATCTTTTGGAACTGTGTTTAATTCCATTTAGGACATCAGGGTTTCAAAAAATGTCTAATTTATAAACATTTTATATCTTGTGAGTATAAACTAAAAGCAAAATGCCAACTTTATCATTTCAAAATTCCATGAAAAGGAAAAACCAAAGAATCTTCTACAAAGATATCCCAGGTAAGTCATTTTCAATTCAAACTCAATAAGGCATATAAAAACAGTGAAAAAAAAGAAGACAGATATGGGGAAAAATATGGTACCCAAACCTATTTTCCCACAAATATTATGAGAAAACTTATAAGACTGCCTTTTAAAAAGTTCCTTCTTTTCAATTTTATCTTAGTTTCTAGAGACGATGTGCATTGTAAACATGACCATAACTGGCACCTTATATGGAAGAGGTGGCCAAAAACACTGGGCTCCTCTACTGACCTCAGTTGAAACTGAACACCTATTTAGTATCGGAAATGCGAAAGATCAGTGCTGACAAATTAATTCAGCTAATTAAAAAATGTTTGACTATTAAATGCTTTAAAAATCAAGCTGAATAATAATTATGTTTTAAGAATGAAATTTCAGGTTTATTTTTCTATCTTAGAAGTTCATCTCATGATGATGACATTCAATGTCTGCCAAGTGTTGATGTTAACTCTGGCCCTTGACCTTTGAACAGAATGGGCAGTGCACTTGATCCGTAGCTAGGAAGCGATCAGGTCCCATCTGTCTAACTGGGTAAACCTCTGAAAGCAAACCCCACTCCAAGCAAAGCTCTCAGTCACCTCTGCCGCTGTTGCACGTCACTACAAGAAGAGTTCCCACCTCAGTGGCACATTTTCCACTTTTCTGATGATGGAATTTCTGCCATTGTCAAGAGAAAGAAAATTTACGTGCTTTAGATAGACATAAGCACTATTAACTCAAGTATCTTTTGACCTTTAAACAAGAACATCTGGTTGGAAAGCCTTAAAAGAAAAATAAAGCTGTTTCCTTTCCAAGCTGGGCAGGTAAGATGCATTCTCGGTATCAGAAATGACAATTCTGCCTGAATTCCTTCACTGAACCCTCCATCTCTTCCTTTCATGATCACTTAACATAATGGTTAGGGTCTGTGTTATTTGGACACATAATCTACTTGTTATTCACCACAGGTCACTGTGGTCAGGGCTAGGAATCATCTCATTGAGAAAGCATAAGTCCCAAGGATTAAGGTAAAAATTGCAAAACTTCAACACTTTGAGTCAACACGCAATATCAGCACCTACCTTCTCTTTATTGGTTCTTTTGGGGTGATGTTTTTGATTACCAAAGTAACATGCTTTTACCAAATGAGTGCAATTTTATGCTGAGAACTCAGCTGGCAACTCACAGATAGAATGACAGAGAGAGAGAGAAGCAGCAAATACTTATACTTTGTAAAAGTGCGAGCATGCCTCTCTGCTTAAACCCTGAAAACATAGGGTTGAAACAATTTTTAAAAATAAAATAAAGGGCAGACAGTCTCCCTTTTGCTGTCCTGCCCACTGCTCTCTTGCAGTGTATTCAATAAACTTCCATCTCTTAAAATAAAATAAAATATAAGAGAAGAGAAAAGAAAAGAAAAGAAAAGAAGAGAAAAGAAAAGAAGAGAAAAGAAAAAAAAATACAGAGCAGGAGTTGGCTGGAGGCTCTATGGTCCCTGGCTTTTTTGACTGTGTCATTTGGAATTTCCCTTGATTGGCGATATAGGTCATACCACATTCTGGGAACAAAATCCCCTGTGCTGCCATCTTTGTGTAAAGCTTTCTCCCAGTTTGGTACAGAAATTCTAGGAGAATTGGTTTGGCTTCATCTTAGAATTGCACATTTCAGAAATAGTGGACTATATTCATCAGACCCTTTTTCTTTGAGGATCACCACCCCAGTTAAGTCTCATGAACCAGCCCTCATTGGTCCTCTACATTTTACTTGAACTTGGTCTTAGAATGAAAATTAAATGAGGAGTAAGTGGAGAGGCGAGGAAGAGAGCAGGAGGAATTTCAGTTATCTCCTTGTTAGGATATACGATTTTCAGGTCTTCCAGTGACCTTAGCATTCTAACCGGAGTTTCTGCCCATGAGCAACAAACAAGTAATTCTCTATTTCTCTCTCCATTGATTATAGAACCTGAACGATATGCCTCATTTTATGTGTGTTGCAGGATGGACAATGCCGGACGCATTAGATTGATAACCTCTTGGGTTTTTAATTAAATGACCCCAGTGGCTCATTTTACTTTTCATGGTTGGTAAGAATACCTAGAACCATAAAACATGATGCAGTTGCCACTCAGTCCAGTAAACAATAATGATGACATTGCTACCGAACCTTACAAATTTAATCTATTATCAGCCCAATATAACTAACAAGATCAGTGTGTTATTAATACAGTTTCACCTTGTTAACGGTGCTGCTTAAGTGGACAATTGGTATATTTAGAAACATATTTTTATGACTAAGGAAATGGTAATTTTTTTATTCTCTAAAAATAAACTTCGTGTTTGTAACATTCACAATAGGATTATTCTCAAACAGGAAATGATCCAAAGGGATATCATCAAAGAAGCGCACTGTGATCTCAGGGTTCTGTATTCAACCCAAAATAACATATAAGTTTCAAAATAGCAAAATAGCACAAACCTTCATAACAATAGATATAAGATCTCAAATTATTTTTCAGTGATTAAATTAAATAGATGCTACTAATTATATCTGTTAAAGTTAGAGTAAATTTCATTAAGAGTTAATCCTACCTATAGACATTGCAGCTGTCGCTTCCATAACAGGATTTGACACTGTGGTTGGTTTCAATACAGATGTTTTTGTTGGAGAAATTGTTGCTGATGGTAATACATGAGTGGTTATACTGTTAACATCTGCAAAAAGGAAACTGTGTTAAAGTAGCTGCATTAAAGTTTACATTTATTTTGCCAAATAACAGACTAGTATATTTAAGCAAAGTAAACTGTATGTATACTCCTGCTATGCCAGTAAGTAAGGCATGGATTTGAAATTAATTTTCTAATTGTAATAAATTCAGCCTTCAGTTCAGTATTCATTCACTAACTCCATCTGCTTCTCACCAATGGCATGGATTTTCAAGATAGCTGTCAGAAGCAGTCTATAGCTCTGAAACAAAATGCTATCTGACAAAACTAGTGAGAAATACATGTACAAATTTGAAATTTAACAATATTTTTAAGCCAACTTAATGAACATTGTCAGATGAAATAATTAAATGGACGTTCTCTGGGCAGTGGATGTTTTACTAAATATTTTCATAGCACATTGAAATTATTAAGTAGTAAAATGTCAGTATTAGTACATCTCTTCCTGATATAAAGCATTTCTCCCTACTTTCTCTCTCTATTACATATTCTAAAGGGAGACAATAAATTTTATTTTTTTGTTTTTTTAAGAAAGACAATAAATTTTAAAGAAATTCAACATTGCAACATACCTAAATTTTTGGCAATGGAACCATCATAAATCTGCATTTTCAAATGATTTATTTCTCTAAATTGTAACAGTCAAAGGCACCAAAATGAAGGTGATACATTGTTATGTATATTACATGTTTACTTTTAATAATACTTCTTTGGCAATAGAAAGTCAATATTTAATAATAATTCTTAAAATTCCCATTGAAATATTATTATTTTTTCAAAGTGAAGTATGTAGGACTTAATTCTCAGTGATTTATGGAAATATTTGTTTTACATAATATTACTGAATTTATTAGCATTTATAGAATCCTTTTAATCCTGCATTTGTTGGTCTTGTCTCTATACACTCACTGTTGTACTGAAGATCAGAAAATAACAAACAAACGTGTACAAAGGACTTAGATAAAGTATTCACGTCCATGGAAGGCATTGTTTTCGCGTTGTTACTTTGTATAGAGTATATATAGTATAGTACATTAGTTAAGGGGATGGACTTTGAGTGACAAAGACTTATGTTATCCCAGTCAAACTGGATATGTCATTACAGTAAATACATATCATTAGTATGACTTTTCAAATTTAAATTTTATCCAAAATTTTCCTCTTTGAATCCTCTTTTATCTTGCATGTGAGCGAAAAGCAATATTTCAGATGTCAGGAGATAGAGCGTACTTCCTGTTTCATTTTATAGACTTGAGGTGCTTGGAAGTGTTAGCACTTAGCACTTACTTTGTTTATAGACAGTACACAGAAATCACTTGATGTATTCAGCACATATAGATGTTTCACCACATTCAGGAATGACAGAAGTGCCTTTTCACAGGCTTTACAGAAATCAAGTCAAAAGCTTTTTTCACCTCTGGATACACTTCACACCATTGCTCTCACCACCCCCCTCCCCACTCCCCCTGCAGGGAGAAGGAACACAGCAAGCATGCATGATGTTATCTTTTCTGTATTAGTCATTTTGTTATCCTTATCTTTGTTTGCATCCTAGAGTCTATGATGTAACACTGATTTCTAAGTTTAAACTGATGTTGAAGAAAGTAATTCAAAGAAGCACATACCACTTTAACTGGAAAATTCACCTATAAATAACTTAAATGATCCCTATCTGTTGACTTGCTAAATAGTAACAACCTCAATTTCTGGGTATAATCAACATCTCCGGAGACTTTTTTTTTTCCTCCCTTCCTCCCTTCCTTTTTTCCTTTTTCTCTCTTCCACAAATACTTACTGGGTAACTGATGTGAAAGGCATGATTAGATCTAATGAAAGACTCTGTATTGTACTACATGGTATCACCTGTGAGTAGCTCTCAGTCTGGTAAGGAACATGATGCCTATACACAATAAACGACGAAGGATATTCTGTATGGGGTGTGTAGATTAGTGTTTTTCAAACTGCAGGTTATGATACAAATAAAGAGTAATTAAGATCTAATTAGTAGATTGCAGTTAGAACTTTTGCCAAATGAAAGAGAAAAGAAACATTAGAAGGATATTGCAAATAATGAGGGTAAGTATTGTTTCATGAAGTTCACGTGCACGTGTATGTGTGTATGTGTATTTGAATAAAACATGCATCAGTGCAAAATATGTTTCCTATTGTGATTCCAGTTAAAAATTTGAAAGCTACTGGACAAGAAATTGGGCAAGAGTTTACAAGATAAAGGATGACCACCCTGATGGCATGAGCAAGGGCTCCTTTATGAGAGAGTTGACATAGGAGCTAGAGTTTGAAGAGTAAGTAGCATGTCCACAAGGCTAGAGGAAGGAGCATGGTCAAAGGTCTGGAGGAGAAGTGAGAGGTAACTGAAAGAACTGCAAACAGTTGTGTTTGGCTGGATTGCTCTATGCTATGAAAGGACATAGTGGGCCTTATCTGGCACGATACTGGAGGCTAGATCATAAAGGACTTTGAACACCAAACGTGGGACTTGGGACTCTATTAACAAGTCAGTGAGGAGCCCTGGAAAGTGACCAAATAGAAATTCTACTGTAGGAAAAACAATGGGGAAACGGGTGGGGCCGGACAATGAGAGGACACCAGCTGAACTGAACGGCAAGTCCCCATTTTTATGTTTACCAATGTCTCTGACCTATTGAAGTCATCATGTGAGATCAGTGAGTTCACATCCTTAAAATGACTTGTGGCCAACTACAAGTAGGCACATTTTTAATTTTTTTTTATTTTTTAAAGATTTTATTTATTTATTTGAGAGAGAGAGAATGAGTAAGGGGGAGGAGGAGAGGGAGAGAGAAGCAAACTCCTCACCTAGCAGGGAGCCCAATGCAGGGCTTGATCGCAGGACCCTAAGATTATAACACGAGCCAAAGGCAGACGCTTAATCGACTGAGCCACCCAGGTGAAGTAGGCACACTTTTAACTGCTGTGTGGTAAGATTGAGATGTACTGGAAAGCTTTTCCTCACCAGACTGCAACACGTTTGGCCACTGATTTCCCTGAGTAAAATCTTAAGCCAGTAGCACTCATTAACGTCTCCATTATTCGTTCTTCAGATTGTCCAACAGAGAGAATTCCCTCCTTCGGCAAGGACTGACAAACCACCCCTGAAAATATTGAGTGTCACTGTGTGCCAGGCTCCATGTAAGCACTTCCTGTGGATTAGCTCCTTTAATCCTAAAAAGACGCCATGATGCCAAAACTCATATGATCACCATTGTACAGATGAGGACACTGGGGCTCAAAAAAGATAAGCAAATTGCCCACATTATGTAGTGGGAAGTAACACAGTTGGAATTTTAATCCAGGCCCCTTTGAATCCAGAGAAGATACTCTTCACCACCACAGATCTTGCTGTGGGAAGCTGGTTCCATGCAAAGCCACATACTCTCGCTCTGCCTGCTCTCTGTCTTTGACAGGGTATGATATTAAAGGGGTAGAAGTGACTAACTAGATGCACAGATGTTCTGCCCTCACATACCTAGGATGAGGAAACAGACAAAATACCTCACTGGATTTTTTTCTTAAAAAAATACTATCATTTTGTCATATATATATTACATACATACACTTATAAAATGTGTCCATCCATAAACATCCATAAAAGGTTCAGACTTAAAGCTTTGAAAGCAATTTCCAATCTACTACAGCTATTTATAAAAATAGAGATTTACTCAGTTGGAAAACTCTGCAAATAGAAACATTCTCTTACAATATGGTGGGAAAGAATTATTCTAACTACCACTGTTGAAGGTTTTATTGACTGTGATGCAAGTAACCACCAGTTATGTTTTTACAACATTTTCTATAAATTTCTTTTAGGTCTAATTTGATCTCATAATAAACTATTGAGGAAAATGGCTTATTCTGAAGTATTTTCTCTTCACAAGACATATGAGGTAGCATTTCACTTTTCTTTATCTCCAAAGTAATTAAAGATAAATTTAACAAGGAGACCTGTGTTTCATATCTTTGCTTATGACCAACCAGATAGTGCTCTTCTCAGGATGTTGTAAGAAAAACAGATGGCGTTTTGTCCTGATTCCACCCTATACCCATACACCAGCAGAGAGAGCACAAGAGATACCATGACACTCAGTTTCCTAGGCTTCAAAAGGATGAAGCAGGATTGGGATTTTAAAAAAATAACTATTTTAATTACAGAAATCATGAGAACTTTGAAAATTCAGCTTCTGGCTGAAAAACCAACTATCATATTTTCTCCTCTTTTCAAATGATTAGGTCGTCTACTCCAATCTTCTTAGACATGTTTTATAATTACATTTCTAAGTAACTTACAAGTGGTCTCTAAATGTTAGAGTTTCATCCATCCTCATAATGAGAAGCTATCTCTCCAATTACCTTTTCCCCTACCAAGTCTACATTTAAGGTCCACTGGAAAACCACTACTAGAGAAGATAGATCTTGGTTTCTCTAGATCAATACAAATACTGAATGGCAGTAACTTAGGATTATAAAACTTGAGACCTCAAAAGAACTTTAAAAATCCCACTGTAATAGAATCCCTACATTTTATAGCTTAGAAAATGTATGAGTTTAAGGTAGTTTCAAAAGATCATAACCCAATTACTAAAAAAGGGGCTTTAATTCCTAAATGAGCACTCTATATTATGTAATATAGAAAAATCTTTTTTTTTCCCCCAATTCCATTTGAGCATGTGGAATACACTTCTGACAGAGACAATGAAGTTTCCCTTTGAACTATAGGAATAAATATTTACTTTGTGAGTTTTAACCATAAACAAAATTTCAGAAGATAGTTTTAAGCTCTTTAAGGAAATAAAAGAGTGATTTCTTTAGAAATATATAGAGTATATACAAAATGCTAATTACTAAATGGTCTTACAACCCTCAAAGTACCATTATTAGGTAATAACTTCAAAACCTAGATCAACTAATCTATGGAATTAAAGGCAAAGTAGGTAATTTTATATTTCAATAGC